GAAGCCTATTTAAGGGTTCCCAGCAAAAGGAGCCATCGTCTGAGTCTCTGGTTGCATGATTGTTTGGAGTTTGATGATCTGAAGGCAAGAAGAGACAAGTTGGGTTATTAGAAAACATATCACAATGAAAGAAGGGGAGGTAAGGAAAGCTCAAAAATCCTGAAGCCTTTTACCATTTTGCATGGGGGAAGGGAGGCCAAAAGCCTGGCTGGTAAAAAAAAAAAAATTCTTTGCCTTTTTGCCAGCATGTTGGGCTTCTGGGTTCCCTTCCCCCGAGCCCAATCCTAAGACAACCAGTTTAAGGTTTCGGAAATTAACTTTTCCCAGTTTGGAGGATACATCTGATGGGAGTGTCCTGTAGTACAGAGACACGACTAGCTATCTGTGAAGAGGAAAGAGGCAGAAAAAGGAAAAAGGAATTATTTTCAAAGGTGTCACAGGGATTCAGGATGCATTCAAAAGGAGTACAGACTGAAGATGAATGACTACTCATCTAGAAAGGGGGCAGCAGGGCATCCCAGCTTCCCTTCTCTTCCTAGCAAATACCCAGCGTACGTGAGAGAGAGAAAGTGAGGTATCCCTCTTTCTTTCTTCCATCCTTATATCCCCAAGTCCCAGCAACCACAACAGGATACCACCCATGGGTGTCAAAGCGGCTTTCACCCATGTTAACACGGGGTATGGGGGTGGGAATATGCACTCTTACTTATTTATGCCCTATCTCCCCTGCTGTCGGTAGCCTTTGAGTTCCCTAGAACTCATTTATACCATGAATACTAGCATGACCTTTATCCATGAAATGAGAGGCTTGGCTTAATTGGCAGGAATTAGTGATGCTCACCTGCGCTATGCCTTTTAACTTCATTATTGGCTGCTCCTGCATCCCTCAGATCTAGTTTTCATTCCTAGGGCTCAACCAAAAACTTGGAATTGAGTTTGGGACCAAAAATCTGTCTTGGGGAGGTTTCATGGACTCCTTATCATAAGCTGAATGCTAAAGTGAAGCTATGAATTGAGTCCTCTTCCAACAAGGAACCCAAAAAGGAAACATCTGGACATCCTATTTATTTCTATCACCCAGCAGGATTTTCAGGATAATTGCCCAGAACTAGAATATTGATCCAGATTTTTTCATTGTCTATCCCCTCTTATTTTTATTTTTTATTTTTTTGAGACAAATTCTCACTCTGTCTCCCAGGCTGGAGTGCAGTGGCACCACCTCAGCTCACTGTAGCCTCTGCCTTCCAAGTTCAAGCAATTCTCATGCCTCAGCCTCCCGAGTAGCTGGGGTTACAGACATGCTCCTCCACACCCATCTAATTTTTGTATTTTTAATAGGGATAGGGTTTCACCATGTTGGCCAGGCTAGTCTTGAACTCCTGGCCTCAGGTGATCCACCTGCCTTGTCCTCCCAAAGTGTTGGGATTACAGGCATGAACCACTGTGCCCAGCCTTCCCTTTTGTTCCTTCTGAGCTGTAGTCAGAGATTGCGGGTTGGTTCATAGGAATGAGCAGGGTTAGTCTAAAATGTAGGCAGGAACTTAAAAACAACTAATAAGCCTAGAATTTAATGATGATAAGTTTTGAAACATAATTTCTCTCTGTAGTCCTCATTTTTGTTAAAAATAAATCATGATAGGACTGAGTTGGTTGCAAAACAGACTTTAGTATTATACTTGGCCTGATTATTTACATAAAGTGCAGCAAGAATAATTATTTTTACATATGCCTTTTAGATTGACTTTGATGGAACTCTGTTCCACAAGGAATCTCAGATAGGACTTTCTAAAGCCGAGCCCACCCATGGGTTTGTACCCTCAAACACCTGTGAGTGGATAAACTCTTTTCTTGAGGTCCCAAGAGCATGGGGTTCTTGGGCCTGTTAGAAAGTGACATTCTTTACTTACCACAGATTAGGAACCCTGTATGGGGACTGTGTAGGCAAGGTATGAGTCCAGTTTTCCCAAGGGACTTTTATTGGCTCTGCAAGTTGAGCTTGACTCCTTAAAGGGAAGCATACCCTTTCAGTCAAAGCCTTGGGAAAACAACCAGTTTCTCCAATTGCATCCTGTTGCAAAAGAAAATGGGTTGTTATTGCACTGATGCAAGCAACTATATTGCCATATGTTAAGACTACTCAACTAGTTTCCAAATTCTGCAGAAGCCAGAGAGAGAGAGAGAGAAAAACATGCTCCAAATTTTGTTCACAGGAGTATACCTTACTCAGTTATTAAAGGCTGTAAATAGCTCAAAATAAGTTTCCTTGACTCTGAAAAACTAAGGATCAGCAATGTTCCAGCAAAAGTCAAAAAATTACTTCAGCTTTCTATTAGTTCAGTCCATTTAATTAACTCTTGTTTTGCTTAATATTTGTGAACATATCACCTCTTCATGAGTCCTGTAAATTTTTTTCACTATTCCAATGTTACAATCTCCAAAGTTATCAGAAACCTGCATTTGAGAGCACTTGTCAAAGTTCTATAGCCATCTTTTGAAGTTATAAACCATCTTTTGAAGAGGATCAAAATAAGACAATTGTGAATAACAAAATATCTGGGGTAGTTACAGTCAGACACATGATTGACAAAGAAATTTGGTTATCTGTATGGTTTACAATAATGTAACAACCCTAATTGTGATTGATAGCATATATTCAGCCATAAGAATTTTAGAAATCCCATACAATTTCGGAACATATATTATTCCCTAAAACAACCTGATGAAGATTAAACATCATTTTGGCAATCCCATGTACCTAAACGTGTCAGGCAGTCCTGTTTACCTCTCTTCTGGATGCTCCAGAGGCCCTCTGCAGCATCCAAAACTAGGGTTCAGGAAAGACAACCTTGAAGCTGAAATATAATTTTGGGAAGCCTGTTAAATGTTAGAGGTTTAAAACACTTGATGTTATGAAATAGAATCCCAGATTACCGTAAGTTATTAATTTTGCCAAAATAATAACTCAAAAATTTTAAAAAAGCAAAAACCTTTTATAACACTTTTGAATTTAGTCAGTGTTCACACACAGAATTTCTTTGGCAAGATTAATTATTTAGAAACTTTCCACAACTTCTTTGAACTTTTGGCTTTATCTTATCTAATTCAAAACAATCCTTTAACCCTAGGCAAAAATTTACATTTTGACTACATCTGCATTTCACTAATAATCTTTAAGGCTTTTTATCTCTCAAAGATTAAAGTCTTGTGAACCAAAAGAAATCAGCTTTTATGTCCTCTTTAAAAAAATATTTGATTTAAGCATTTATTTTTCTTTCAAGCCAATTAATTAGAGCTCTTTTTTGTGGACATCACACACAACACATATATAACTACACAGACTGACAGCAGAAGATTGAATAGCTATAAGAGAATTTTTATTTGCCAATCTCCTAACTGGACTATTGGCCTCTGGGTGGAGACCTTTAAGAGCAAGGCTAGGAAAGCATGCACTTTCTAGGGCCTCATAAACAGGTATAACTGAAACACAAAAACAGATTTTGAGAGGGATCCATCTGCCTCCAATTCCTGGGACTCCCTGAGGAAAACAGAGGTCTCTCTCAAAATGGAATCTGTGGTGCCTTTTCTGTTTTTTTTCCAAGGAGTCCCAAGCCATCAGAAATTATCTTAGGGCCCCTGATGCTTGCATTTAGTGTGACAAGACAAAATGGAGAAAAATAATTCAGTTGACTGAGAAAAAATCCTTCTTCCCGCAAAACAAGATCCAAGAAGGGAAAACATGAAGACCTTTTAAATATACCTATAACTTGGATATCCACTTTTAATTAAGCTGAACACTCTTTAAGAAAATTCTTTTAAATCCCTTGTTACATGACTTTAGCTGCACTAAGCAGCCAGTATTTCTGGCTTTCCAACTTCACTGAAGGTAACCACGCAGGTGCTCAGAGAAAGGAAAATTCAAGGCAGTTCATAGAGTGGAAGAAAATCAACAAATGGCAAAGGTCACACAGATATCAAACCAGAAAAGACTCATTCCCTAAGCCAAGATTGAATCCAGGCCACCATTGTAAAATAGTGGAGGCTAAAACAAAGCATTGCCACGTGGTTCTCCCAAGGACAGAAAACAATATAGAAGCTTGCAGCAAAGTTTGCTACTGACCAGTTAGCCAGGCTGGCTTGAACAGTGGGCCTATGGAGTCCTAGGCCCACATCCCATCCTAAGATACCCCTCTTTCTGACACAACCATACAGAAAGCCATCCAAAGCATCACCAGATTGGCTACAGCTTAAGACCAAGCTCACAAATCAATTTTCATAAGTAAAACTTTACAAAGAATGTAAACAGTGATAGTTGGGTTCCTGTCCTAGTAAAATGTCCTCTAAAAGGAAAGAATAGCCTCTTGCATAAAAGTTAGCTCCTGATCTAATGGAGAAAAGGAAAAGAAAAACAGCTTAAATGCAGGGCTAGAAAGATACCTTGGGGAAGAGCCTCTTATTCTTATGCAAATGGGTTTCTCTAACAGGGAGAGAAACTTTTAATTGCTATTGGATGGAGATGGACTCCTCGACTGGGGGAGGGGAAAACACCATGGGTATGTGCCAGGGAATGCTGGCCAGCCAGCCATGCGGGGCCTTGGACCATGCGCCCCAGCCCCAGCTAGGAGGGTAGGGGGGTGGGAGTCACCACTCACATGTCTATCCAGTGCACACACCTGCAGCCATTGGGGTGGGGGTAGAACACCCCCAATATTGTAAAGGAAAAAATAGGTGCCATTATAGTCCCAACAAGAAAGATGGAAAATGTCATAGAAAAGACTGGGTTGGATTGAGGCTGACATTCCTGAATCTGAAGAGCGACAGTAGGGTGTTGGTGGGGTGGGGTGCAGTTTCCTCTACCCTTGGAAGAAGTCTGAGGACAGGAAGACTCAGAAACAAGAGGGATAAGGATGTTTTAGTCTGCATTTTACTCACCTTTCCTCATGCCCCATAGAGGCCACCAAAATGATGCAGATTTTTTTTTTTTTTTTTTTTTTGCTTCTTAGCTCAGCTAAAATCTGGGTTCCTGCTTCATAACCAGGAAAAATTAGACACACAGACACATTGAAAGTCGAGGAGAGTGGAATATATTAAAAGAAAGCTCTCAGCAAAGAAAGGGGGTCCTGTCAACAGGCTCTCACCTCACATATTGAGTATCAGACCACCACACAGGAGCTGAAGAGACCAGGCTTCTCCCTGCATAAAGTGTGAATTCCCGGTGTCTCCACCCCATTTTCCCAGTGTACAGGTAGGTCCTTAGTCTGAGCCATTCCACATTGATTTATTTCCCTTACTGCACATTTGTTAGGAAATGAAATTTTTCACCTTGGGCGTGTTTAAGCAAGCCTCCTGTGCACAGTGACCTGGTTGGCATTTGGCTGTCTCCTGTCTCTCTTGCAAGCACACACGATGACTTGGGATGATGCATATATTCAAGGAATGGATATTAAAAAAAAACAAAAATTATTAATCTGGGCCATGTTCACACTGCTGTTGCTCTTTATTTCCTTGATTGGGGGGAGTTTTCTTAATTTTATTTCAGCCATTATGGCCTTTCATGCATTTCAATTTTGAGCATAATGTTTTTAATGAATGTTCTATCTTGGTTAATATTTTCACAGAATGCTGTTTTCAGTAAATTTTATATAATGCAGCTTATCAACTAATGTTTCAAAATATAACATTTTTGTTATATTGCTATCATTGAGTGGGTACCACTCAAGAATTTTAAACAGGACTGTGATAAATTTACTACTGTTTATTTTCTCTGTCTTTTTTGTTTGTTTGTTTGAAATGAAGTCTCGCTCTGTTGCCAGGCTGGAGTGCAGTGGCATGATCTCAGCTCATTGCAACCTCTGACTCCCTGGTTCAAGTGATTCTCCTGCCTCAGCCTCCCAAGTAGCTGGGATTACATGCACGTGCCACCATGCCCAGCTAATTTTTGTAGTTTTAGTAGAGACGGGGTTTCACCATATTGGCCAGGATGGTCTCTATCTCCTGACCTCATGATCTGCCTGTCTTGGCCTCCCAAAGTGCTGGGATTACAGTTGTTAACCACTGCACCTGGCCTCTTTTAGACAGCACTAGTTTACAGATCAAGATCTATTCTCAAATATCTAACTATATGTTTATATATTTATACTGTTTGTATATTTATATTTTCAAATAGTAAGTTTTTCCAGGAATACTGAAGCAGAGAAAAATAATTATGTAATGAATCTCTGAGGTTCAGTTGAAAAATGAAAGTAAGAGAAAGCATCTTTATGATTTTAAAAAATCATCTTTATCTCAAGAGCAAGTGAATGAGACTGTATTAATGAATAAAATGTAAAATTTCAAAAAGAGTTATAAAACTAATTAAATGTTGGAATTTTGAATTCTAAGGGATAGAAAAAATAACTAACAAATAATGAAAATCAAAATTTCAATCAAATGTTAGTCAACAAATGGGAAGTAATAGAAATTATTAGGTAAAAAGAGTTTCAAGGAACATTTAGAAAATCACACACATACACAAATATATGACGCTGCATAGGAGACATTGGAGGGGTACTGCTAGTTGAATCAAAATTTTAAAACCTTGAAAAATGAGACATGTATAAGAATTATACTAAAGCAGGATTATTTGAAGGACTTAAGCTCAGAAAGTCAAAATAAGAAGGTAGCTGCGACTAATAACTGACAAGATGTCAAGGCATGGAGTAATTAACCTCTAGAGATATCTTCCAATTCAACCAATAGCTTTTGTTTTTTTAAATACTACGAAGGTCCTTGTTTATCTACTATATGTCTTGTGTTATTATGAATAAATCTGATACAGTTCTGTAGAACTCAAGAAGTTTTCGTTTTGTTTTTGTTTTTGAGACAGAGTCTCACTGTGTTGCCCAGGCTGGAGTGCAGTGACACGATCTCAGCTCACTGTAATCTCCACCTCCTGGGTTCAGGCACTTCTCATGCCTCAGCCTCCTAAGTAGCTGGGATTACAGGCATGCACCACCATGCCAGCCTAATTTTTGTATTTTTATTAGAGACTGGGGTTTGCTATGTTGGCCAGGCTGGTCCCAAACTCCTGACCTCAAGTGATGTGCCCACCTCAGCCTCCCAAAATGCTGGGATTAGAGGTGTGAGCCACCACACCTAGCCTAAGAGTTTTTTTTTTTTTAAACACTCTTCAAAATACAGTCAACAGGTTTCTTCTTGAAAATAAAATAGATTATACATGTATTCTTTAAGGAAGCAGGAGAGATCTAGTGCTTATTTCCACAACTGCATTCCTGCTACATCTACTCTCTTTTGAAAGAATGTGTGCAGTAAGTTAGATTTTGTACTAGAAATGCCAAAAGTGAAAAATAGAATTATATGTAAGTTAAGTTAAGAATTATATGTATATATTCATTTCTTCAACAATGATTTATTAACTATTTCTTCCAGGCACTATTCTAGGCATTGAAGATATAGAAGTAACCTAAATGGATAGTAACTTTTCTCACGGTGTTGTGGTGTGGGAAGACAGACAATAATAATAAAAAGGAGTCAGTATGTGTCAGAATGTGAAGAGAGTTTTGGAGAAAAAAGACAGAGTTAGTAGATAGTACTGGGGTTGCTAGTTTAGACAGGATGATCAGGAAAAACCTCTTTAATGTGGTGAAAATTAAGCAAACACTGAATACAATGAGGTGGCTATGTTGGGGAAAATGTAGAGATTTTAAAAATTACAGTTTATAAAATGTATTACAAAGTGTATTATTTTATTTGAGTTCTACAACAACTGTAGGAAGCTAGATATATATTATTATCATTTTTAATCTTGTGGAAACTACAGTTAAGAGAGGACAAGGGAGTTGAAGTTACCTGCCTAGTAGAGAGGGGTGTTATATTTAATCCAAGTCAGATATTATTAGTTCAGCAACAGGTCTTGACAAAGTTGCTTACTTTCTCTAAGCCTCAGTCACCTAATTATTAAGGTGGGGATAATAGTAATAGTGACCCCATAGAATTGTGACAATTGTAAGATGATCTGTATAAATCAAATTAATGTTTGGCATATGCATCTGACAAGCCTTGACTGTAGATCAGGGGTCAGCAGACTATTGCCCCAGACCCTAGCCAGTCTGCTGTCTGTTTTTGTAAAATATGTGAGCTAAGAATGGTTTTTACATTTTAAATGGTTGGAAAAACCAAAAGAACCTTATGTGGACTTCAAATATCATTATCCATAAATAAAGTTTTATTGGAACACAGTCACTCTCATTCAATTATGGTTGTCTAAAGCTGTTTTATGCTACAACAGCAAAATTGAGGAGTTATAAAAGAGACCATACAGCCAGCAAAGCTGAAAATTTGCTAACTAATCCTTTCAGAAAAATTTTACTGATCCCTGCTCTGGATAGAAGTGCTCAACTTTGCTGCCCAAGCTATGTCTTGTTTCTTTTTATTTCATTTATTTTTATATGATTTTATTTTTAATAAGCATATAATAATTGTACATATTTTGGGGGTACCTAGTGATGTTGTGATATGTACCATGTACAGTGATCAGATCAGGGTAACTGGCATATCCATCATCTCAAACATTTATTGTTTCTTTGTGTTCAGATGATTCAATATCCTCCTTCTAGCTATTTAAAACTATATGTTATTTTTACCTATAATCATCCTATAGTGCTATAGAACACTATAAATTTTTCCTCCTACTTGACTGTAATTTCATATTTTTCAACAAATCTCTTCATATCCCCAACTTCCACCACCCTTCCCAACCTCTAGAATCCTTTGTTCTACTCTTTACTTCTTCGAGATTAACGTGTTTTTTTTAGCTCCCACATATGAATGAGGACGTACAGTATTTAAATTTCTGTTCCTGGCTTATTTTGCTTAACAAAATGCCTCCCATTTCCACACAAGTTGCCACAAATGACAGGATTCCATTCTTGTTTATGGCTAAATAGTATTCCATTGTGTTTATATACCACCTTTTCTTTATCCATTCATCTATGGTTGGACACTTACCTCCAGGTTGATTCCATATCTTGATTATTGTGAATAGTGCTGGAATAAACATGGGAGTGCATATATTTGTTGGATATACTGTTCTCCTTTCTTTTGGATAAATGCCCAGTAGTGGAATTGTTAGATCATATGGTAGTTTAACTTGTAGTTTCTTAAGAAACCTCCATACGGTTCTTCATGGTAGTTGTACTAGTTTACATCCTATCAACGGTGTATATGAGTTCCCTTTTCTTTGCATATGTCTTGCCCTTTCAAGTCTGCAAAGAGGTCTGCCCATACCACCTAATCTAAAGTAGTTCCTTCCATCCCAGTCTCACCTCTTAACTTCTCTCCATTGCTATGTTTTATTTTCATCAATGTACTCACTAGTGTCTGAAATTATCCTATTTATTTTGTGCTTGTTTATCAGTTTCCTTCCCTCTTGACTAAATACTCTGCTAGTGTAAAAAATCCATCTGACATCTTGTCAATTAGAGTTTTAGGATATATTTATGTTTTGTCTATATATCTTTGGTCTTATTTCTCAGTTTCCTATGAACTCTGAATGGTGAAGAAGTGTTGATAGATTCTGCTCAAAATCCCCAGAAACATGTACAGATTTTTTTTTTTTTTTTTGAAGAATGGGACTATACTCTAGATCTTATTTGACTTTATTTTCTCTCTTTATTTTACCTTGTTTGTACATATAACTCCCTATTCTTTTTTTGACACAGAATCTCACTCTGTCACTCAGGCTGGAGTGCAGAGGCACAGTCACAATTCACTATAACCTCAACCTCCTGGCTCAAGTGATCTTCCCACCTTAGCCTCTCCAGTAGCTAGGATTACAGGTATGTGCCACTGTTCCCCGCTAAGTTTTGTTATTTTCTGTAGAGACAGGGTTTCACCATGTTGCCCAGGCTGGAATTTCCTATTATTTTAATAACTCCAATATATAGATAAAATTAGCTTAACTATTATCATGTGGATGGAAATGTATAATAATCTTATTATTACAAACATTGATACAATGAGTATTTTCTTATTTTGTTCATTTGTGCAAGTATTTCTGTAGAGTAGTATTAGATATAAATATTATCTTAAGGAATATGCCTATTTTAAAGTTTATAGATATTGATGAATTGCTTTCTAAAGAGCTGTATGAATTTTTATGCTCCTTAATAGCACCTTTTCCCCATATTGTAACTAACACTGGATATTGTAAAAAGTTTTAATTTCAGGCCAATCTGGTATTTAAAATATGATATTGCTTTACTATTTTAATTTTTTCATTGACTATATATGACTAGACATATTTGCTTAGGTGTGTTGGTCATTTGTATTCCTTTTTTCTGTAAATTACCATTCATATCATTACTCCTCAAAAATGTTGAATCATCCTTTGTTAAAATTGATTTTTATTAGTTCTTTAAAAATTTTTGACATTATTTCTTTTTAATCTTATGTATGTTTTAAATATTTCCCATTTGTCTATTAATTAGCTTTGAATTTTGCTTCTGGTATCTTGTAGCCAAATCTATCAGCTTTTTCTTTGTGGCTGTTAGATTTTAAGCCTTGAAGAACTTCTTCAATCAAAAAGTATAAAACTATTTCTCTATATTTTCTTCTAGTAATTTTATAAATTTTTAATGTTCAGCTCTTTCATCTATCCAATTTTACCTAATGTAACTGATCTAAATTAATTTTTCCCTTAATAGCTATCTGCCTCAATATTATTTACTGAGTTGCCATTTTTAAAAAACTACTTATTTGAAATGTTAACATCCAAAAACATATACAGTTATTTCTTGATTATATATTTTTTTAAGTAAAAAATTTAAAATTAAAGAACAGAAAAAATATAGAAGTGCACAAATTGTGAATGAAAACTTGATTATTTTGCAAAGCAAACACACCATGTAACTATCAGCTATGTCAAGGAATGGAATTATTACTATCTCAGAAACCTGTATTCTGTAGGTAGTCAACTGTATCTTCCAATATTGATAATTCTGTCTTTTAGAAATATATTTTTATTTTGCTCCTACTATATTAGGAAGGTCTCCAGAAATCTACAAGGACCTCTTTCTCTTGTTCCTGCTTTACATGGGGAATGCTTTTGATCTTTTATTAAACATGAGATTTGCTGTAGGTTCTTGGTAGGTTCTCCCCAATAAAGTACAGAAAAATGTTTTTCTATTCCAAATTTATAAAGATAAAACATGCATAGGAATTGAATTTTTGTAAGGCAACAATCAGAATTGTCTGAAGGTGACCTTACAGGCGCAGACTGGCTTGCTTGAATATCAGGCTAGCTGGGACAACAACATTTCTCCTACATCAGTAGGAGAAAATTCACTGAAATTCAGCTCTCACTCTCTCTCTGCCCCATCTTTGCAGGAGAAACTAGAGCATCTTACCTCCCTAATATCTTTAGTAAGACAGGTAGCTGACCTACTGAGGCAATTCCTCTAAATTGCTTTTGCTCCAAATCCAGAAAACCTGATGCTAGGCAATCTGAGTGCTCTCCCCACCCATAAGACTGACTCTCATGACTGAATTATCAGGAGGAGAGATGAGGTTGTGGAGGTGATAGTAGAGGTTGGCAGTAGACCTCTGGGTCTACTGGGTTAGCTGTGCTCTAGCTTGGTTTGTCTCCCTGTGTCATGTTGAAAGGATTAGGGGTTTCCACTTATGCCATCTCTTCATTTCTGGTTCCTGGCATTTATCAATTCCCCCTTTCCCAAAAAGTATATTCTTCAATAGGTGTAACATTGTAGCATTCATCCAATAATTTGTGGGTGGAGATGGTGCTCACTCAGGTTACATCCACCAGCTGGGGAAATTACATGAATAGCGTCTGTCATGATTATCATATTTTAAAGCCAATCTGTTAATGAATTGAATTATATTAATGGATATATTGCTGCTTAACTTTTCTTTCTTGTGATAAACCCTAACATGATCTAATGCTGTTCTGATTTGCCGGTATTTATTTATCATTATAAAAATCTCTATTAATGAGTAGGAGGACTTTATAGTTTTTTGTAAATAATTTTGACACAATTTTGGGGAAGCTTTTCATCTTTATTTCTGTGCTCTGAACAAATTTAAATAACAAGGAGTTATCTGTTCTTTTTGAATTTAGCAAAACTGACTAGTAAAACTGGGCATGTGCATTTTGCAGAGAGGGTAGATATTGATTTGCTTTCAATAAAATTTTTCACTATTGTCTAACTGAGGCTTCCTATCTATTTTTAAACTCAAAATTAGTAGTTTAAGCTTTTCTGGGAAATTTTCTATAATTATCCATTTCATCTAATTTCCCCTTCCCCCAACCCATTAGAATAAATTTTTATGTTATTGTCTTTAACTTTAAAAAAAGACCCAATATTCCTTTTCTTGTTCTGAATTTATTATTAATAGCTTTTTAATAAAAAGACTTTCCAAAGTTTCTGTTTCTAGAGAACTAGTTTAAGAAATTGTTTTTATAGGCATGCTTTATTTTATTGAATTTCGTAGATGTTGCGTTTTTTATATGGTGAAGGATTGAAGCACCTCTGCATCTAAGCAAGTCTATTGGCATCATTTCTCCAACAGCATGTACTCACTTGTGTCTCTGTGTTACATTTTGGTAATTCTCTCAATATTTCAAGATTTTTCATTATTATTATGTCTGCTATGGTGATCTGTGATCAGTGATCTTCGATGTTATTATTGCAATTGTTTTGGGGTGCCATGAACCATTCCCATATAATACGGTGAACCTAATTAATAAATGTGTGTGTTCTGACTGCTCCACTAACTGGCTGTTTCTCTGTTTCTCTTCCTCCGCTTGGGCCTTTCTATTCCCTGAAACACAATAATATTGAAATTAGACCAATTGATAACCCTACAGTGGCCTCTCAGTGTTCAAGAGAAAGGAAGAGTTGTACATCTCTCCCTTGAAATCAAAAGCTGGAAATAATGAAGCTTGGTGAGGAAGGCACATTAAAAGGCTGAGATAGGCTGAAAGTTAGGTCACTCATGCCAAACAGTTAGCTAAGTTGTAAATGCAAAGGAAAATTCTTAGATGAAAATTAAAATGCTATCTAATGAACAGATGAATGATAATAAGCTGAAACACACTTGTTGCTAATATGGAGAAAGCTTTAGTGGTCTGGATAGAAGGTCAAATCAGCACAGCATTCCCTTAAGCCAAAGCCTAATCCAGAGCAAGGACCTCAGTCTCTTCAATTCTCTGAAGACTGAGAGATGCAAGGAAGCTTCAGAGGAAAAGTTGGAAGTTAGCAGAGGTTGGCTTATAAGGTTTAAGGAAAGAAGGCATGTCCATAACATAAAAGTGCAAGGAGAAACAGCAAGTGCTTTTTTGTAGAAGCTTCCATAAGTTATCCAGAAGATTTAGCTAAGATCATTGATGAAGATGGCTGCATACACTAAACATTTCTGAGACTAACCTATAGATATATAGTGTGGGAATACCTTTATTTCTCTGATATTTATTCAAAGATATATGATATATGATATATGATAACATATACTGGAGATGGACCTTATAAATAAAAGCATGCCAAGATAAAAACCCAGTAGTTTGGAAAGTACAGGAAAGTTTTCAATTGTAACAATTACTTTAAAAGTTATGTGAACACTCCCACTGGAATGGAATCTTATAAATATAGGTTAATTGGAACGTGTGATGCAAAGTAATTATTGCATAATGCTAAAAATGCACGTAAATTTCATACTAGTCCTTAATATATAGTATTTGTCAGTGGTTCATTTTTTTTTTTTTCTTATGCCTGTGGTTTTACTATAGGGATTAAGGAAACAAATTGTATCATTCTTGGCCAATAACAGAGATACTCTTCTGTCCCGCCCTCTCTTTTTATTGTGGCAAAGAAACATATAAAGATATTAAAAAAGACACACACAACATAAAATTCGCCTTCCCAACCATTTCCAAGTGTATAGTACAATATTGTCCACCACATGTACATTGTTGTGCAACAGATCCCCAGACCCACCCATTCCCCACATGACTGAAACCCTACATACATTAAACAACAACTCTCTAAATCCCACTCCCTGTTAGGTCGGCCCCTGACAAGCACCATTCTAGTTTCTATTTCTTTCATTTTGACCACTTTAGATACCTCATAAGTAGAATCGTGCAGTGGAATCATGTCTTTTTGTGACTGGCTTTTTGCGACTGGCTCTTAGCATAAGGTCCTCAGTATTCATCTATGTTGTATAACACATGACAGGATTTCTTTCTTTTTAAAGGCTGAATAATATTCACATATATGCCATACCATAATTTATTTATTCATCTTTTGATGGACATTTACGTTGCTTCATCCCCTTGGCAATTGTGAATAATGCTGCAATGAACATGGATGTGCCAATATCGCTTTGAGATCTTGTTTTTAATTATTTTGGATATTTACCCAGAGATGGGATTTCTAGATCATATTGTAGTTCTATTGTTAGTTTTTTCAGGAAACTCCATACTGTTTTTTGTAGCAGTTGCACTCTTTTACATTCTTACCGACAGCGCACAAGGATTCCAGTTTCTCCACATCTTCACTAACACTTACTATTGTGTCTGTGTGTGTGTGTTTAATGGTGGCTATCCTAATGGGGGTTAGGTGATAGCTCATTGGGGTTTTGATTTGCATTTTCTGGATGATTACTGGTGTTGAGCATCTTTTCATATGCTTCTTGGCCATTTGCATGTTTTCTTTGGAGAAATCTCTATGTAAATTCTTTCTCCA